GCAATCTTCAATCTTCTTTTGTGTTCAACATAAGAAAGCAACTCGTACAGGTTTGGAACGACATGAGGGTGAGTAAATGATGACAGAATTTGCAGAATTGCTGCTGCTGGTGTCTAAACTGTCAAACAGCTTCCTGAAACAGACTGTAATGAGTGCAGTGTGGCACTGCAAACCCCCTGTTGATTGTGCACAGTTGAGTTTGAAATAATTTAGCCTCTGTGCTGCTTCTGTTGGCAGTCGCATTAGAATGCTGCTAATGGCTTTGTATACAAGTATAATATATAATTATCGTTATCGAATTATCGCCCAGCCCTACTTTGAAGTGCTTAAAATGAAGCCGCATTTGGGTTAATGTTCCATTTTAGATTTGTTCATTTAAAAATTGCAAGCACACAGATTCAAGTGATGCCTCCCAAACTGCTTGATGCAGTAGGGACAACACAATCAGTGTTTCCATTAAAACTCATGTGGGTTACATCAAGAAAAATATAATATCATTATAAAAACCCTGAATCTGTGTTCTACAATACTAGTGTGGCATCAAACTAAGCTATTGGTGTCTCTTTTCACGCTCTACTGTGTGTGCTGATGGTTTAATCCAGTAATTCAGTGAGTAGATGGGGTTGACAAACAGACGTCAATGATCAGGACTGCAGCACATTATTTATCATTTTAAGAGCCCTGCTGAACTGTGTAAACATGATCTGTGTGCTTTATGTGCGCTCGTGACCTGAGATCAGTTATAATCACACATCTAGTCATCTCCTTAATCTCTCTCTCTCCACACACACACATACTCACAGAAAGAGAGTATGCCTGCTGGTTTTGACAGCTGATCTCTCCATTTCTCTTTCCTGCTCAGATTTTCCACGAAGTGACACAAGGGATAGACCCACTGGAGCAGCAGCGCTTTTATGAAGTGTTTTATTACCAGCTTCAGCTTTATTAAAGCATTACTGTGACAACTGAAGTGTTACATAGTGCTTTGCAAAGTATTAACCATTTCTCTTGGTTTTCTGAATGACAAATCTCTGATATATCGTATTGATATTTTTACACACTTAAGCTGTTTTATCATAATTAGTTTTATAATTATAAAACATTTAAAAATACATTAAAATATGTTTTACATATACAATATTCTAATCAAAATACTGAAAGTATTCATTCTGTGCCATTTTTTAATGTAAAGTTGTAAGTTGTAACATTTTACAAAAAGGCTAATTTTGCTAACAGTAGTTAATGCATTAGGTATCATTAACTAACAATGAACAAGCATTTAGTTAAGTTAAATATTAATGTGAATTATCAAGAGTATATTCATAAACTAACACAAATAAATGCATTGTTGTATTGTTCATTTGTAGTTAATAATAACATAATCAATTAATTAACTAATGTTAACAAGTTGAACTTAAGCAATAACTAGTGTTTGTGGTCACTACCATGTTGAAATGCTTCAAACTCCAAGTTTATTAGTGGACAGAGGATTCCTCATATTTTGCACCATCCATTCTTCCTTCTGTTTTAATAAAATGGCTAGTGCCCAAAGCATGAAACTACCATCACCATAATTCACTGTAGATATAGTGTTTTGTGGTCTGTATTAGATATTAGATTTTTCACCAAGTAAATCGTATTGAATTTCAGTTAAAAAGCTATATCTTGGTTTCTACTGACCACAAAGTATCTTTCCTACATCACAAATGGGTCAATATTATGTTTTTTGGCAAAACCCTGATATGTTTTCACATCGTTTTTCTTGACTAATGGCTTCTTTTTGGCCACCCATAGATTCTTTCCTTATGAAACATTTCATAATTACTCTTCTTAGAAATGCTCTTTAGCTTATTTTCACAGCAGTTCTTCAGATTTACAGTCTAAATAATGATCCTTTAACTGTGGGGTTATTATCCACATAGAGTATTGGCTAGTTTAATGATCATTTAATGTTATTTAAATGCACAGGTAGAGGACAATTGAACAGCAAATATGCCCCCATTAGAGCAACTGTCATTTGTGCTTCTGTAAAATGAAAATGTTTGCTTACTCTCATGGACAATGCACTCACCACTTCATACACAACTGACAATCACTCATCTCATCTCTATGATAACTTAAAATGATCTTCTCCTAACATACACACTAGTCTAGTCTGTGTGTATGTATAACACATGGATTTGATTATGCCTCATGTTTTACAGGGAAAGGTTAATAAGAAGATTTTCAAACTCAGAATGACGTATTTCAGACAAGATGGAAAGTACAAATCTGCCAATCCCTAAGGAGGCATACAGAGAAATTGTATTACAAAATGTCAACTGTCAATCCATTCATAATGCCCATGAATTAGATGAGAAATCCCTGCACCACATTAGAATTACTCTATGGCAAACTGAGATGTGATGGTTGCTATGGAGATATAATATTTTGTGAACAGCTGCCCCACAGCTTTCCATTTTTTTGTGCGACAAGACAAACAGCATGTGAAGCATACTTGTGAAGTGTGTGCAGTCTGTATGCCTCTGGTCCAGAGTCTAGTAAAATGTCAACAGTCTACATAGCCAGCTACCTACTAAGACAGCATCCTAACAGAAAAGACACCTTAAAAGTGGCTGAAATAATCTAAATAAATAAAATGTATTTCTAATCGATATTTACTCAACTCTGTCTTCCATCTTGGGTTATTTCCACTAAGCTCATTGCAAAAAAATTAGCAAATCAAAGTATCTTGTAAGGCAGCATAATGTTTCTGCCTATTGTTTGGAACAGACTTTACATCATTGGGAGCATGAAATGCATAAAAATGTATTTTTGGTAAACAGCTCAAAATGGTTTAAAACACATCCTGTATAAGGGGGAGGGAGTGGTATATCTTTTACCTGGGTGTCCGTGCAGTGGTGAATGGGGGCGAGGCAGAGTAGGAGAGGTGCTGGATGTCACTATCAAACTCTTTCTGTTGCTGGTCCGACAGCTGTAGAAAAGAACCAAAAACAAAATTCAGGGTGATTATTTGTCTCATACATTTATGCATAATGACTAAATAAATGGCGCAAAAACAATTAAGATGATGATTTTTAGATTGAGCCAAATGTAAAAACAGGTCAGAGTTAAGACATTGTAATATACTGAATCTGAGAGTATGCCCATTCAGAAAGATTACAGACAGCAAAGTACGAAAGAACATCACCTCTAAATGGCAGTGGAGTCAGATGATCATTGTCTAATTCAGGTCACACAAACCTGTCTCATTTTATGAGGCTGAAAGTGCACAGTAATATCTGCTCTCTTTTCTTCTGGCTTAAATGCTAAAAGCCTCCAGCTCAAGCTGACAGGGGGAAAAACGGCCACCTAAAGCTCAGCTCAAATGAACCTTGAGACTTCCAGCTAGGACAATACAGCCTCACGCTCCATTGCAGAGAGGAGAGATGACCGGCTGAGCTTTAAGAATTGCAAGACGGAGAGCAGTGTAGTGAAAAGTAAGGGATGAGTGCTCCTTAATTCAATGTGAGCAAAATATTGACATACACGCACACATAGCTGAGCAATCAGAAAGGCAAGCTGCAGCCTTTACAAGACATCACGCCACTGCTGAATCTACAATCTACACCATGACAAAATAAATTATATTTCACCAGAGTTTTGAGCATCTGAATTAACATAAAAAGCCTGTGTTCCATAGAATATATATAATCCATAGACATCAAAATACAAGACTATGTCTTTATTCGGCAATATCTTAAGTGACTAAACTCAAAAACAAACAAAAACTCAATAAAAAAAGAACAGCTCACAAATATCAGTTGGAATCAACTGTATGATCTTTCACCGAATAAATTCACAGAATCAGTCAGAATAGTTACTGAATGGCAAGTCATTACTTTCAGTCATGTCAGACTTGAAATGAAACAAGAACTGTTTTGTGTAGTTAGGGTTGTAAAACTTAAATCAGTAGCATTACTAACTATTTATTACACAAATGTGAATGTTTTTGGAGTTACAACTCTTCAACGTATTATATAATAATAATAATAATAATAATAAACTTTATTTTATAAAGAGTCTTTTAAAGTAGCTTCTCAAAGTGCTCTACACCATTGTTTCCCAACCGGGGTGCCGTCTGTCGAGAGCAGGGGTGCCGTGTAAATAGGGATATGCCGGTATCAAATTTTCATGTTGTGATTAATTGCTAATGCTTTTATCAAGGTATGAGGTATTATCAAGATGTTGAAATTTAGTTTT